GTTAGTTGACAGAGAACGAGCGCGAAGATAAGGAATGGAGCAAGATAGAGATGTTAGTTGTGAACTAGGAAGGAGTCTTGTTGAATAGCGAGTGCGAGAATGAAACTTCGATGCTGGTTATTATTGCGCTGCATGTAAGGATTGTACATGGGCTACTTATACTGCAAAACGGTAAGGGTCCTCGGGTACGATTGAGCCGAACGAATATGTGGCGACGGAGGCTGAAGGGAGTGGCGTTGCGCCTGACAGGGTAGAATAGTGAAAATTAAGAAAAAGGGTGAGGAAACTGAGTGGGTAGTGGTAGGAATGGGTATCGTGTAATGGAGTAACGAGAGATGCATAGGTTTTGTTGACAGATATGGAATGGTTAGGTTGCGAATAGGGTGATGTTGACGAGAGAATGGTTCTGGACGTCGAATAGGTCGGTAACGGCGAGTAATTAACGGTAAACGATATCGTGGATCGTGCTGGTCGACATTGGCGGCGAACTGAGGTGGCGGTTGAGGTGAGTGGTGGTTCGGCTGTTTCCGGTGGTAGCGGCTTGGTAATCCTTACACACCTAAAGATAGAAAAAACATTGTTTTGAGTTCCTCGGCACTGGCGTTTGGTGGGAACAGGGACCGAGAGCACTCACCGATAAGTTGTACAACAGCAGGGCGTGTGAGTGCAGTATTTTGATCGCCGATCAATGGCCATGATCTTGCTTGCTGTATCACCAGCTTTTGACTTGTAGATACGAGATTGACTAGCTTACACGCTTCGTTAATATACACGGCTTTGTAGATGATTTCTGAAGTAGCTTGAACCCAAGGTTCGCCTGCTTGCACGAACTCCTCATCCTGTACGTTTGATCCTCCCCCAGCTACAGATTTTTAGCAAGGGAAATTCAAAGCAAATAACGCCCGACAAACTTACCCGTATGACTGCAATCAGGATCGATCATGACGAGTTTTGCATCCTACAAGAATTTTATCTCATTCTGACAGTCCTCCGGGTATTCAAGGAGCTATCAACCCAAAACCAAACAACAAAGGTGAAAGGACTCACAGGGAAGTACGGGGCTTTCTTGCATGGCATGATCAAATCTCTGGCGTTGATCGCTACTATACAGACCGCAAAGTAACCTCCGCAACGGATGAGAAAAACATCTCCCATTTGCAATATTTTCAAGAGCGTCGATAAATCGTTGTTTTCCGCTTCCCAGTTCTTTTGAAGTGATTGAGGCTCGTGTACCTAGTAGTCCCATTGAGAACAAATAGTGGAATACGTTAAATGGCGCACTTTCCGTCGAAGATATCACCTTTCTTTGCACATCACTGCGCGGCAGTTTCAGTATGACAATGAGATCGAGGTTCAGCCGGGCACAGCAGGCTGTAATTGTTATGATGAACTCTTGTGCCAGATAGTACGAAACGCTGAGGAAACTCACTGTAGAAGGTGGAGAAGACCGTCGGAGCTCGACCACACTCTCTTCACTTCATACACTAGCTTACCTCCCCATTGGAAAAAAAAGGCCGAGGGTCACAGATGTTGATCTGTTATCACACTACAAGGCGGGAATCGGAATGTAACCCAAAGTCAGCGCATTTAGGATAGAGTCTGACACGCACCCGTTTACGTGTCAGCGGCGTCACCGCGCAACGCGTCGCGTCATTCTAACCGCTTGCCAAATAAGGCGAAATGATTGACTCTCCAAGACGAGCGTCATACCGGCGTCACCTTGTAGGCTTGCACAGCTTTCCCGCCAGTTCCAAAAGGTATATAAGGTGAAGGATATTCGACTCTCTTCCTTAACTCACCTCCCTCTTTACACACACGCACACACATAACAACTTTACTTTACAATCAATATCATCTTCATAATGGCTGACACTGGACGTCAATCTATGACCGACAAGGCTGCTGCTTCTGTGAAGGTCAGAATAACTTTCCCTTTGATTTTAATCCTCGCCTGACGCTGTCTAGCCCGACTCTCAGAAGTCGATGACCGAGAAAGCTGGCGAGCAGGTCAAAGGAGTGTCTGATTCTATCGCCTCTACTTTGCAACCGCAGGTTAGCCCCTAACATGTTCCAAGATTTAGATTGAAGCTGACGGTTTGATTTCAGAGCGATAAATCTGCCACCCAGAAGGCCGGCGACACGCTGAGCGGAAACTCCAACGAAGGCCAAGTGAGTTAAATTAGTCGGCTTGTTTATTTGTGACTGAAGAATCTTGGTAGGAATCTTTGACGGACAAGGCCAAGCAAACCATGGGCATGGGGGATGCGGAAAGGAAGTAGTTCAGGTCCTTCGCACAATGGAGAGCGTCTCGTACTGTATTATATTCTGAGAATTTGTGATTTTTAACGCGACGCACTGCTGGTTGTATGATTATTCCCGGCCAATGTCTCAACCGCCAAATCTTGCGAGCCTTCTCCTACGCATCTCTTCCACACTTACAGCTTCTTCTGGGGCTTCCGATTCCGATGCAATCGTACTAGTATCTGCCTCAGATCGACCATCTATCTCGCTATCCTCGAAAGTAGCAGCGATATGAGGCGAAGGCGGCGATTGTCGTGCCCGAAGTGGTTGTACTGGAAGAGGGATAAATTCAGGAGGTGCACTCTCCAATGATGCTCTTAGTGCAGCCTGGAAGTTGGCATCGTCATCATCATAAACCCGGTCCTGCTGACCCGTGCCATACGATGTCCTTGCTTCGGGAGTAGGCACGTAGTCCGAGTCTTCGGAATCATCATCATCAATGTCTCCTCTGGCGTGTCGTTCTGCTAGCGAATCCGTAATCGCACGACGAAAATGTTCGTCTTCATGGCTACCTTGTGCTTGTGGTCCGTATGGCGGCTGCCGACTTCCAAACCGTGCAGCCTCCTCCTCATACTGCTGTCTAAACCCAAATTCTTGCTCACGTCGCATGCGCTCCATGAGTACACGATCACGCTCCATGGAAGCAGTAATCGGGTCAACGTCAGCATTTCCGTACGGGTCTTGGTTGGGAGGAATGCCTGGCATAGCTCTTCTGGCCGAACTCGATGAACTCGATCCGCGGATATCGGCGGATAATCTAGCGTGCGCGGGAGGGTAGAAACCCGGCATAGCCCGTGAACTACCGACTTCTCCAGAACCCACCAAAGATGCTTGCAAGGCTGCTTGCAGCTCCATATCTTCATTCTCAAATCCAAGTTCCGCGTCATCCTGTGGTGTCGAAGAAGTTGAAGTAGGATCTGGTAAAGTAGATGCGATAGCGTCTGCGTCTACGTGGGGAATCTGAGAGTGTGCATCTGGATCGATCTGCGTGACTGTAAAAATAGAGTATCCATCACTCTCAGCTTGTTGCAAGAACATGCCAAGGTAGAGTTTGCTGATCCATTGTGGCTGGCGCTTAGTGGAATCGAGGTTGAACCAGTGGCCATCACCTGGAATAGAGAGATCTCCAAATCGTCGCAATGTGTACCAGTGCTGATTCTGATTGAGTACGAATGCGGTTTGGTTACTGGGGGTAGGACAAAATGATGAGGAACGAGAGATAAAACTCATTGTTGACGTACTGCGGCTCATTCTGATATGGCTTCATAGCTTCAGAACGCCAACGAACGAGGCTAGAATAGAGATCATAAGCATAAGGCGATGCACCAGATATGGACCGTCAATTGGACAGACCTAAGATTCCAGACATTGAGTGCTTCTTCTAACACTTGCACGGAGAAAAATCCTGCGAAATCATTAGCGCTTCATAAAGCCGAAAATCCAAAATAGATTGCCTGTATCATCCATATTGGTACTTGTGCGTGCTCGAGTGGCGTCGTCGTAACGTGAGTACTCCTCCAGCGCGTCCATCTTTCGAGCGAATTCAGAGAGATCGGGCGCTGTGAACTGTTGCGATAACACAGGTGAGTACACGATTGCCAACTGAAAGAAGGATACCGACATAGTTTCCCTCTGGGAATGGCGAAACGAGCGTCAATGAGCACCAGCATCAAGCAACGGCGATGATGCACATACGTAGCAGGGAATTGAGCGCATGCTGCGCACAAAGATTTGATCCTTCCTGCTGCCTCTCATGATATATCATCTGCACAAGTTGTTCCAGTCCTGCCATGCTTGATTTCCTGCAAACGTGCTTGTTCGGGGGATGGTAACTGATGTAGCTGCCTGAGTGGAAATGACATTTAAGGGACGCGCACGCGTGTCTTACGTAATTCGAGTACTTTGCAACTCGTTTCGCCCTTCATCTTTCCCCTCCGGATTCCACATAGCCATGATTCTACGGCACATCATATCTCAGTCATTACCTTCCAATATGTTATCCTTACTTTTGTTGTTATCCACCACAGTCTTTGTAATGGCAGCAGACTTTGATTGCCATGTGGCGACTGGAGGGATGAACTGGGACCTAACGCCGCTGAAGAGCACGCAGACATTGACCAGGACACGGGAATCGCCGCCTACAACTATGGTGGATGAACTCAGATTTAAGTTGTGCAAGGACCTGAAATCAATGAAGGGTGTGCCAGACGATGAACAGGCAAGTTCAATTCGTGATAACCCAACCATGTCAATATTAATGTTAATGTCAAAACCCAGTGCGAGTCTGGGACAAGGGCATGTTTAAGGACGACGAACAAGAAGACCTCGCTGGATGACCGGGTGATTGCTGTCATACCTATTGCATCGACGTCCATCCTTGAGCCAGAATATGCAAAGCTTGATTGTATGTGGAGTTTCTATCTGATTTCTTGTTATGCATACTTAACAAATGTCACAGCACCGAAAGGTCTCTCGTTGACATTTCACGGCTCCCCATACCCCTCCTCCTCTGAAGATTCCCAGTCTATCAAGTTCTCCCTCTTATGTGCCGACGCGGCAGAAGAACCCAAATTCGTCTCATATGAGAACGGAACAGCACATGTCGAGTGGAGTACACCCTCAGCTTGTGGTTCACAGGATGGGGAATCTCCACAAGAAGATGATGAAGACACGCCTGCGGATGGAGGCGGTGGAGATAGTGACGAGAAACCAACTCAGAGTGTGGGCAGTGGACTTGGGTTCTTCTTCCTTGTGTGAGTGGCACAGTGTTCATACACAAGGAACATGACTGACCCCCTACTACCTAGCCTTATTCTAGCATTTGCGGCCTATCTCGTACTAGGCGCATACTATAACTATTCCACATATGGTGCTCGCGGCGTGGATCTTATACCGTGAGTGCATCACATTCATTCCTTTTTTCGGGAGCACCGCCTAACAGTCTATAGACATCGAGACTTCTGGCGCGAAGTGCCATACATGTTGCAAGACGTTGTATCTCATCTATGTTCAACAGTTCGACCACGACAGTCGAGCCGTGGAGGGTACATTGCCGTATGATGATCACGTGTTGTTTTCTGGGACATGTTTTCTATATTCAATGGTTTCAGATATAGACGACGGTACATGCTTTCTAATCTAATTATTGCCCTAACGCCTTTATGCTGTTAAACTGCACTGGAAACAGATTGGAGGTGCGAGGTGAATAAAGATGTCACGTTCTTCTGAAATCGATCCAGATGAAATCCACGAAGTCTAGTTAATTAGCAACGCTGTTCAACGCGCCTGTTCGCAACTGATACGTCTCGTTGAGTGACCCTTGGGCTCGTCGGTTTTTAATATAGCGCCACCGACTTCGAGGCCTGTTATAGCTCAAGCGCCTGCTTTGGGGTTAGGAGGACCGTCAAGCAGCAACAGCAACTCCTTGGACCTGTGCTCGCAGTCCGCAGGTTTTTCTTGTCACCTTGAGTCATCAGGCACTGAAAGCTGTCAAACTCTGGGTCTGATCACCGCTACTACCCCTAACATCCTAAACCGTTCCATCAGGCTCGTCGATAGGACCGTTTTGGCACTTGGCACAGGCGTGATTGGACCTGACTTGAGCGTCTCGAAAATATTCTCAAAGTCAGCGACAGTACGGTGCTTGCTCTGGCTGATTCCACCTAGCTCGGGGATGATGCTCACGATTTCAGAAATAGAAAGACTGGGAGGCACGACATCGCTCTTGCTCTGACCTTCGCTGTTACTGCAGTATCGGAGCGAACGTCTGCGAGGTCGGACTCAGTGCTGGGAGTACCAAACTCGGGTCCCGGAAGACCGGCGGGGAGTTGAATGGACAAAAGACTATATCACCAGTCATTGGCCTTCACGAATATATCATGATGCTAATGCTGAATCTTGCTGGTCATGGCAACTTTGGTCGAGATGAACTCATGACCAACCTCTGGTGATGCAAGCTGCTTCAGAGTCGAAAATCGATTACATACAAATACATTGCGTTGCGTGGGGGGTTGTAAAAGTATAAGTATCCTGATATGCGTGACTACATAGTCTATCCAATCCATAGTCCGGTAGATCGAAAACATTGAGAACGAGATACAGCAAGATAGCGATAAAAATGTGGGTAGGGGGTGTGCAGAATTGAGTCGTAGTGGCAATGATAATACAAAATGAAGTAAGAACCGGGAGTGATGAAGTCCAATTGTAGTCCATGATACAACAAGATAGCGATGAAATGTGAGTAGAGGGTGGGTATGCAGGGGTCAATATTCAATGATGATACAGAGTGAAGGAAGAGCTGGTAGTGATGAAGTACAATTGTAGTCCATTGGAGGCGGGTCCGATATACCGAAGGCCAATGTGTTGAAGGATGACATAGGACAAGACAATGAAACCTGCGCACAGCGAGAATCAGACACTCTGGGAGAAGTAGATACCCCAGCTGTCCGAGCCATCTCGAGCTCTAGCGAGGCCAGCGAATAAAACTTTGGGGCCCAAAAAGTCAACGCGCTTCACGCCCTGCGCATGTTGGCGCGATCTAGCCCAATTGATAGCGGAGTTAACGGCGTGGGAAGGTCTGTACATTTGCATCTCTTGTGATGTAACACCTCGGTTGAGGGTTTCCCGTATCTTGAGCAGGACGTCGCTCACAGTGATGCCGTGAGGGTTCACGACCTCTATTGTCCAAGCGGGAAGCTCAGGAATAGTGATGGTCATACGAGAGACTCGTGGTTGTACCGCAAACTCCTGAAGCCTGGTAGGCGAACAGTCTGGTCGCAATTGCACGTATGCTAGGTCTTTTGTGACGTCAAACATGATATTGGGACCAAGGCTCAAGAGGGTGTGCAAGACTATCATGGAAGAGTGGGACGTGGATGAATGTTGGTCTAAAAAGCAATAGATAAGAGGTCTGCGCAAGATATGAACAAAAAGAAGAAAACATACACGAAACAGGGGGTTGGTGCAAGGATGCATTTGGGTGCGGGAGGGACACCGTATGGAGGTGGGGTGCGTTTGTAATTGGTATCGGGAGCGATACGGGATGTAGGTGTGGCGTGTTTGGGATTGGTGCCGGGGATGCCAGGCACGGGGACCAGCCTGAGTGGTCAGATGATGGTGCCCCCCAAGACTTGTGGCTGTGTGAAGAGGAAGAAGAACCCATGCGGTAGTGCATCGTGGCGAAGATGAGTTTGGGAGATTGGGCAAGTTATGAGGCTTTAATGCAGGGAGGAGGGGGCGGGATTGGGTACGGAAGCGCAGTGACTCGCTCTCTGAAGTCGAGATTGGGGACCGAAGCGCAGTGACTCGAACACCATCATGCGCCTGTCTTTTATACCCCACGAGGGAGCGTCGGGAAGTTACTTGCGCGCTTACTGTTGCCATCATGAGGAGGATAGCGATGGACACGGAGGTTATGGGCGGGACAGCGAACACCGTCGTTTATGGTCAGAAGTCAAGGTTAGACGCCAAATCATTGATGGCGCTGGGCGGGAATTCTAAATTGGGATATGGGGCGGGAAGTCTTGGCGGAGCAACTAAGCCATACAAGGCAAGCGTCGGGAAATGTGCGCTGATGGGTAGTCTCACGAGACACATCGAGAACCACATTGAGCTTATCCTGCTTATCGATGGGCCATCGAAGAGTCTTTTGGGACGCTAGATGCAACCCTAGACTAACACCTCAACGTATAATACATTTTCCAGTAAGTCATTATTAATATTTAACTAAAGCTACGTGATGATCCGGTCCGTCCTGTTCACATGTCGCGTTTTTTTTTCTTTTTCCTGGTACCATTGATGTAAATCTTCGACTTCTACAAGTTTCGGCGGGTGGCCCAAGCGCAACGAGACTGATAACGGTCATTTTCGTCATCCAAGTAATGTAACCCAATTGTCCTGCACCGAGATACAATTCTAACGCGCGTTGACAACGTTGATATCTGGTCAGATGGGTCATTACGATGACAGTTGACACCAAAAGTCTGCACGACCCTCTTGTCCGCTGTACACCAGTCCAATTCCAATTTCCTCCAAAGATATTCGTGCGATACGTGTCCTTGCCCTTAGTCGACGCGTAAAAGTCTTCTGCGAGCTTTTGGGCCTCCATACCGGATTCGACTGCTAAAGAAGGATTGAATAACACATTCCAGCGCCGTGGATTCGGGAATACCATCTTTCTGTTTACGAGAATGTAAGCTTGCCAGTTTCGAATGGATCCGTTCCCGTGGCTTTGGTGTCTTCAAACTCTTCAAGCTTTAAAGCTTCAAGGTTCACTCAGGCTAAGAGCGCAATCCGAGCTGTGCGACAACTCGGATCCCACAGCTTCTATGAGTCCACATCTGCGTCAATAATGGGCATACCCCTTCAGTGCGCTCGCAGGATCACTTTGGACTCTGAGGTAACGTGGTTTGATTGTTCGCGTTGCTCGCTGTGAGCCGCGTCTGCTCGGCAGTGTAGCGCATCACAGCGCTCTGGGAGTTCTGGTAGGGGGGATTCCCATAGTTTTGAGTTTAAGGTTGCAAAAAACTTGCGAGTTAGGACTCAGGAGACTGCTTTATCACGTGCTCGATCACTGAACTGATATGTCGCCTTCGCTCAGATTACCACCATGGGGCATATGGCCAATGCAAGTCCATCAAACGACGAGAGTCCCGGCGCATATATTGTCACGTTTGGGAAATACGCTGGTCATCGGCTCGACTCTATCCCCAGTAACCTCAGGTTGTGGGCAACAGGAGTTAAATGTCGGGATACCCGCTGGGTAAGCACTCGGTTCAGTAAATATGAGCATCACTAAGAATAATTACAGTATGCTGCCTTCAAGAGGGCCAACGAACAATATGAAACACTACTACTTCAAAGTCCTGAAGCCTACCCTTTGCCCTTCGGAGAGTATGAAGACACACAACTCAGTCAAGTACCAGAATATTACATGCGGTGGGCCATCCACCCCTCAAATTCTAATAAACCCTGGGCAAGTTAATTTTCTACATAGCAACATTCACGCTATATCTCTCGTCCCGCAGTACCGAAACCTGGTGGAGGCAAATCGTCGTTACCGGAATAATGCATGGCAATCGACGCCATCAGGCTCAGCCGTGGCTTCCCTAGCGGCGCCTGCCATCGGTAATCACTCCTGCCCCCAGTGGGAAGACCTAGTCGGGAGGCATGACGTGCTCCCCGCGACCCCTCCACGGCCATACCGCAAAAGACGGCCTGCGAACGTGCAAAATCCCGTAGGGGAACTTGTGGATCAGCGGGATGACGTTCGTGGGTCTGCGGGGCCAGATGATAAGTACGAGCTGGACGACTTTGTAGTCCCTGATGATGATGATGAAGGGGCTAGTGATTTTGAATCGGACTATGGCGCCGACCCCACATCTGACGACAACGACGACGACCTGCAGGGGTCAGGTTCACACACAGAACGGCTCTTACCATCTCGCTCGAGCACGGATGACTCTCAAACCTTGGAGTCGGAGTCGAAATCGGATTCAGATAATGATACGCCTCTGGGCCAGCTACGCGACAAGATCATGGCAAAACGCGTAGCTGGGAAAAGAAAGGCAGAGGTCATATCCTCGCCCAGCCCCCAAAGAGAACAACAGAGCTCGGGCGAGGGCAGTGATGATGATATTGTTACTCAGCCCCCACGAAAACGCCTCAAAGGTGCTGATTGATTTATGAGCTGTTTACAAATTGTCTCAAGTGCCGCGATAGCAGGTCCCCGTTTAGTCCAAAGGCCTGCCCAGAATCATTTTCACTCTGATACAGAGCCCGTTGCTTCAACTTCGCGTCTTGATGATGAACAAGAATCCCCCCATCACCGTCAATTGTCTTACTCTTCCCAGGAATCTGCTGCAAGTTCAAGCACAGCCGACGAGCCCTTGCATACTCCCAAGGAGTCTTCACAAACCGACGAAGCAGATTTTTTATTGCTTGGTATTTATGAAAATTCACTTGCACGCTTGGGAAGTCGTTATCGTGCGCGTATAATAACTGATTCAGATGAGGAGACGTCTTAGCTGAGTTCAATAGCATACAGCCATTGTTGAACCGATGTAACAATATGATTTACCTGAGCTGCGATGCAGTACGGGGCCCCGTTTCATTTCCGAGCTCAGAAGTGACGTGAATACGGTGCGAAAATCATGACCACCGCCACCTTCATCGTGATTTTGATGAGTGATGGCCTTCATCAGCTTCTAACCATCTAGATGCTGTGACCGCTAAGCCTCAGACTGTAGCATCTATGTTCGGGGCATCGCCACTTTGAAAGCTTCTTTGTTTTGAATCTTAAGTGAGTTCATCATAATGCGCCCTCATAGTTCTTGTCTAGTACGGCGACTCTACGCCTCGTGTGACACTTGGACTTATCAAACACAAATCGTGACGACATGTAGGTCCAGGACATGCCGACCTGCGCGGCGGGTATGATGTGCTACTTTACCGGTCCGGTCTCAGTAAAGATTTTATGTAGCAAGTTTGTGATCTCATAATTCAATTTTGGAAAAGGTTGCAATTGACTGCGTTGATATCACATGGACGGTCGGCTCAGTACAACAATGATCGACGAACGAAAGATGTGGTACTTGGTTGGGATGTGCCCACATCAAAAGGACGGGGAGATCCTTGTTCGAACTGCAACCGAGGACAAGGGCTGTAGAGGTCCTGGTGACGGTTTTTCTGAATGGAAACTTAATCACATGTACTCTGGGCAGATACAATGCTTTACGATCGTTTGGAAAGGCTGGTATGTTTCGACAGCTGCACCAGTGCAGTTGTGGATCCTTGACGGTCCTTGATTGAGACAAAGATATTGTGTGGCGGTTGACGGAACCCTGGCCCTGGTTGTAGTGACGAAAGATGCATAGGACCCGAAGCCTGTGTCGAACGAAAAAGGACATGAGATCGGACCGACATATCATGATGACAACGAGCGCTATGTGGCTGATTGCGCTGATCATTCTACGATTTGACGCGATTATTCGGTCAGTTCGCATGCTTTTGGTAAGCCTGTGAGTACAAATTGTCTAACCAGAGACACAGTCGAGAAGAGGAAGCAGGCCTCGAGGCACCGACATGACGGAGGATGTTGAAGAAAAAGATGAGGAAAGGTACGAAAAAAGAAATAATGGGTAAGAACGATAAGGAGAAACAAGTGTGTGATTATGATGCGGCGAAGTAGATATCAACTGATTAGATGTCCGACAGTCCAAAGATGGATGGGCTTAACTGATGAAACGATCTCTTGCCTCGGGTTACAACTGCCAAAAACATTGATTCCCGTGCCCGCGCTGCTTTTCGCTCAAGGAAGTCTTGTCCATAGACTCTACCACACTTATAATCCCTTCTATGGCCTCCGTTATGCCGACTTTCATCAAACGCCCGTGGCTTTACCAGGCTTTACCCTAAAATTGCCGTGTACGTATATCCTTCACATATAAAGTTCCCGTCCGAGAAATCAGCCTCGTGCCCACCTTTATCGGTACACTCGCTCTTTGCTCCCACATTATCTTTTTTTCCTTCAGCGAAACCTCCCTTCCTTACAATGCCTGCTGAGAGATCCCGGGGCTCAATGAAGCGCGAACATTCAGATGGTATGTTTAACATTGCATTGCATTCATAATATATTTCTAGATACTGATGGTGGCTTGCTTTAACTTAGTAGGCGCTCAATTAACATGGACTCTTCCTCTTGAGCCTGCGTCTACTCAGAGCATTGCCTTTGCACCGAACCTAACGCCCATAACTTTCAACGATTCCCCTCTTGCAGTTGAAGCTACTTTTGAACCTGTGCTCTTTCCCACTCCTACCGGGGAGTGTTCGTCCCGCCGGCCAACGCATAGCAAAAAGCGTCCCGACGATCATATCCCCCGTCCACCCAACGCCTTCATCCTCTTCCGCTCGTCCTTCATCAAAAGCCAGCATGTATCGACAGGAGTGGAAACTAACCATAGCACACTTTCAAAGATAATTGGTCTTACGTGGCAGAATATGCCACATGACGAACGTCAGATCTGGCACGCAAAGGCAAAGAAGGCATTGGAGGATCATAGGCGGAAGTGGCCGCAGTATGCTTTCCGCCCTTCTCATACAAAAGCGAAGGGTGGGACCGAGAAGCGCAAAGTTCGGGAAGTCGAGCCGAAGGACATGAAGCGTTGCGCGAAAATTGCCGAGCTCCTTGTCGAGGGAAAAAAAGGCCAAGAGCTAGAAGACGCAATTCAAGAATTCGACCGCACACATGTTCCTGAGGTCGTTACCCGCTTCGAGGCTCCCATTACTGCTCGGGCATATCGCCGATCTTCATCCGCTCCCATTGACAATCTCGAAACGAACAAGCCATTCCTTTCATCCTCACCAGCGCCCCGTCGTGTACGTGCAACGAGTAGCCAGCCGTCGCTCTCATCAACTTGGAAATCTCAGTGTGATGATCTTACACCGAGATCTGATGGTCTAGCATCAGACGCCTGCTTCGATGTCTCGGCATCATCTTCATTTATTTCATCAGATTATTCTTTCCCTGCGAAACCACAACCTTCAATGGTGAGTTCCGCCGAGCTGTTCGGCTCTCTATCGCTAACAATTTTTTTTCTGTAGGAATTTGATCCTTTCATGTTCGACGTAGCGTTCGGCAATTCAATAGCGTCCGCAGGTCCAACTTTCCCTGACTTCTCTCCTTCACCGTGCGAGACGCGGGTTCAAACGCCTTCATTAGTTATCGATACCGCACAGGGCAGCGACTGGTCGCAAGCTTCATCACCCTACTGTGCCTCACCTGTCACGCCCCATTTTCCCCTCGATCGCTCTTTCGATACCTTATGCGCGGAAGGCGGCAATCCGTTCATGTCCAGTTCATTTTCCTTCAATAACTCATATCCCCTGCCTTGCAATGAGGGATTCTCGGACAGTTTCAACACATTCAGTCCCCCAGAAAATTTGGACGGATCGTCGTTCCCGCAAGAAGATTTCTTCTCGAAAACCCAATTTTCCTTGTTCGAGCCAGGGAAATTGGAGCTCGCCAGCGTGGACATGGAATTTTCCGCTTTCATGTCCTCACTCTCTGCCTTCTGATCACGAATGTACAATTTTTTCTTCACAGGCGGTTCCCATCAAGTATCTAACCGATGTATTTTTACTGACGAATGCGGAACTCTTCAGTGTAACAACTTGTAACAACTCATCAACCCTTCTCATCCCGTTTTGCGATACATTCTTTCGTCATACCCTTGGCTTTGTGTATAGTTATACCTATCTACATGTACTTAGAACGCTTCTCGTTTGCCAGCGCAACCAGAGAATTTCATAGATTGCTGCGATTAGTTTAGCTTGAATGATCATGACTCACGAGGACCTTCGCGATAGAATGACGGCATTCATGCACACCTGATCGTTCATACCGGGTTATCGTACATGCTAGCGTGGGCCGTAAGAGATCGTAAGGTTTTCAGAACGCATGAAGCGCAAATGCAGAATGGAAGATAGGGCACGTGTGTTTAAACTCTTGATCACGAGGTCTCCGACGAGGATGGGAAAGAGGCTGAAAGAGGGTAGCACCGATTTATTTCCTCGCGCTACTACCGAACTCGGGCAGCTGGGAGCCGGGACTGTGAGTGGTAATATTAAGCGCGATCATCGGGGGGAAATAGAGGTCATATGTGTGCACATGTATATCGGCCGAGTGCGCTGAGCGCGTTGAGTAGACTGTGAGGTGCGAGTTGTGAGAATCACTATGCGATTTGCAGTGCGCCTCTGCAGTGAGGCAACCTTTGGCAATAAGAAGTAGCTGATCAGCGCACGATGCATTCGAAGTCGCGACCGCTGCCGAAAAACGGCGCTCATACATCGCGACCGCCACTATTACATCGCGTTCCGTAAGATCAGTTATCGCAGGAATGGCAGATCTGAAGTCGATGCGCGCCGCACATGTCACATGTGGACCTCAAAATTAAGCTCCACGAAGTGTACTTCAAAGTTTGAATTCGGAACTTCAAGGACTCTGAAGGGGATGGAACTCGTTAGGTCCCGCGGGACAGGCACGTAGAAGGAGTTCTTGTACCTTGTACCTTGTATTCCATCTGAGGATATTTTGGTTCCTCGTCCGACAATAATACCCAATACCCTCAGATACCTGGTAATCGTCATCGAGGGCTGTCAAAGGAAAAGAAAAATGTTCACCATGGAAACAGCGCCAGTTCACACAGCGCTCGTACTCGCCCGTCTCCTAGCTTGGGCGCCAAGCTGGCAAGCACATGTACATGTTTGAAATGAAATGGCCTAGGCACTCCTGGACAGTTTGCTTATAAGTCAATTTTCCAAAGAGTGTCCTGGAATGATGTGTATCACACAATAGGACTGAGAAGATCCCTAGTGTTGCGAAGGTGGGTTTGCATCTGGGAATTGGTCGTTCGCTAGCGTTATATATAGATGTGGTAAGGATAGAAGCTCCCGCGGGCTTCAAGTTGGGGCGAAAGAGACAGCTAGGTACATACCTCTGAATTAGGATGGGATCAGAGGATATCCGCGTCGGATAGCGTCCATTATTCTCCACCACCGCGCGTACCATGAAGCACACGTTGGGCACTACCCTGGCTAATTTTCCAGGACCTAGAGCAGGTCAGCGATGTTCAAAACGTGTTCATTCAAAATGACGGAGGTCCCATTCCTAGTAGACGTGCTCAGTCATGATCTTCCGCATCCGAGTAAGGCGTTGGTTTGCGAAATGCCATGATGAGGTGTCGTCACACTCAAGCTCGTCTAGTCGTACGACATCTGCTTGATCCATGGATAGTTGATACTCGGTGGCCTGGCAGTTGCTCTCGATTGCAGCGCTTTCTGTTCATGGACTCCCATAAACAACTAGATGCAAGCGTCTCGGAGATGTGAGGATCAGCAGGCAACCATGATTCTGTGAGCTGCCAGCTGCGGCGTACGTAGGCGTCGAAGTTCATTTGCACCCGAACCAAATATGGTAGGTGTAGTATTCAAATATTCTCCGTGACCTGGCAGAATTTGAACGTTAACGTGACTGAGTGGCTCCACGTTCAACGTTCAACACTTGCCAAGTGCCTCTGGTTTCACTAATAAGCCAGCCGTCACGGTTGCCCCAGCCATGGTATGTGCCAGCACGTCAATAAGAATGACGACAAATTTCTAAGGTGCGTTTTGATATTGTTCCTCAGCATGAAGTCCGCAACCTTGAAGTTTGAAATTAACTCACAACGGACATGATCATGCAACATCCTACAAAAACCATCCCCCTCACTGGACATGGTCACAGAAAGCGTTTGCGTTCTTCTGGTTTAGTCTGATGTCCTAGTGATTGAAACGGTGGAGTGGACAGGAGCATCCCCGTCTCGGGAGTCAAACGCAAACTAACTGCGGCCCGGGCTTGAATAAATCTGGGTATTTTCCCCTGTCGCACTAATTATGCTAGTATGTCCATCCATCTGATGCGGCTTTTCGCTGTAGGCAGAATGTATCTCGTAGCATCGGCCCGGCCCTCATGTCCACAGTTTTCTATATGATCAACATCGTAGTTAAACATCTGACAATCCAGACAATATTAATTACCTCTCGTAGCCGCTATCACCGTGCACAAACGCATGCTCGATGGGGTCAACACCATCTCACCTGCCCCTGGTATATGTGTGACGTCTTCAAAAAATTCTAACACCTCAAAAACGCCAGTGAAGAAGAAAAGAGCAGCCTGACAATTCTGAGAATTCCTTATATTGTCATTTTTGGGTGCGCCTAACAAGATCACATAGAAATCATGGGTCCTCTGAATCTCCAAGCGTCATCTCGTCAAACTCCTCTAATAATTCTTCCAGCTTCACAGCAGGGAAATCAGCTTCCTCCTCTGCATCCTGTTCGTCTCCATTTGCCGCAGTACTGTGACTTGTATCCGTTTCATCAACGTCCATTCCATATTGGCCTCCTTTCTTCCGTGCTCCATCTGTAGCATCGCGCATCTTTGTATCCTTAGCCGCATAGAGATTGACCGTCCCACGTAGCTCAGGATCTTCTTCAAGGTCCTGCAAGAACAACTCATAGTCCTCTTCCACCTTCTTTTGATCCCGTCCGCCCATACGTCCAACAACACCCCGCCCGCTCCCAGTTTCGCCCTCCTCCCCAGCCTCCTTCGCAATACTCCGCAGCTTCCAATTTCTTGTCTTATTTTTCTTTCTGCGATTCGGGTACGATTTCTTCACGAGTATGATATCCGGAATGCGAGATGAAGGGAGGGATGAGAAGTCGTCTGAGTTGAAGTTGGCATTGGTGAGATGATACCCTAGCGCAGTGTCGCCGGGCTGCAGAATAGCGCCTAGATGTGTCCGCGTGTGGAAGATCTGGGTCGACATACTGGAACTCTCGAGATCCATGATCGCGTCTTGGTCACCGTGGGATGCATGTGATTTGAATGCACCCGACATCGCTACCTGCGCGTCGGCGGAGACTCGTTTGCCACGGACGGTGCCCGTGGGCTCGACGTCCAGGATCGTAAACTCAACTAGATCTGTCACCGTCGCCAGGGAGACGAAGGGCGCCCTCCAGTAAACCTGCGCTGATATTTCACAAGTTTGCAGTGTTGCGGGGTCTAAGAGCTGGAAAGAGTTGCCGACCCGAGTACAAATGGTAATCGGGCTTATGTTGCTCATCTGCCGGGCCTGTTTTGGAGGAATGCAGACAAGGTCATCCTTGCAAATCGGGACAATCTCGACTGAGTAGGTAAATTTATAGTTCGCGGTGTGCGAGTGAGTGTCTGTAGAGAGCAACTGCTCGGAACCTTTCGATCTGCGTATGATGAGAACCAATGATTCTAGCCGTCGTGACGCAGCTTACCGGACTGGAACAACCCCAGCTAAGAATTCGACCATCTTAATCGCATGACTTCGTTGACTGTAGAAGAAATCGAGGCCATCTCTGACCTCCTTGACGGATATCGTATCCTTTTGTGTCCCATGTTTCAAAATCAGCTGCTCGAGGTATAAAAATGTCCGTTTGTGGGAGACTTTCTGTCGCACTTGTACAAGTGCTTTCCACGTATTTTTTGCCGCAAGTTTAGTGCAGTCGGGACATTGTCCGTGCTGGACAAGATATTCAATCTCAAAGATTTGCTCTAGTATCGTCGATGTCAGAACCTGATCGATGTGAGCGACATATGCCATTCCCAAACATATGTACACACCTCCTTCTGAATCGTCAATGAGACTCGTAATCGCTTCGAGTGAGGCTCTGTCCATATGAAGTGAGCTTCCGTCAACCGGACTTTATTCAAGCCCTTGAGCCTCTTTAGACAGATCGCCAGTAATTCTTGGGATTCTGGCCGAGCAAGGGTCCAGGATTGAGGGGGCGATAGAAAACGCTCGCAATTTCTACAAAACGAAACAGAGGCTGATGGCGATCAGTACCTTCACGCTGCTCAAAAAGTTCGCGACAACACACACTGCTTTGGGATGCCCTCCGTGATGTCTACGCTACACACAGAACAGCACTCTCAAATCATGATCTTGCATCAGTCGATGACACTCACGTATTGCGAAGACATGCCACACATAAATTGGCAGAATTTGGGACAATCGGTGTTCCTGATCATGGGGGTCAACAGAGCGAATATGTCAAGATCGAAGTGACTTACCACAATCAGCACAGAGCACGCGGTGAACAGCAGGTCCTGGAACAAAGTCCATCTTCACGAGATGGTGTGTGCTGTAGTAAGTCGATTTTAAGCAGATATGATTGTGTCGGTGACTCGGATCTGGATTTTTCAATTAGTAACGTGCACGTGACTGTGATATTGATATGTCACGACTTCCATCTCCTTATCCAGTAATCTCGCTTAAGCTTGTACCCAGCATTTGCTCTCCCATCTCTTTATCTCAGCTGTCTCTACACCGACGCCCTGCCTATCATTCTACTTCTTCCCTCGCAGAAAACAATGTTTGCACTTGGGAATGGCACGGCGCGCTCCAACTTACTTATTTAAATTTGAGGACAACCTATTACATAAGTTATTGCGACCGTGTCGCGATCAATATTGGCTAACGCGAAGTTCGAAACTCAAAATTGCTCCTTTGCTAGTCGCCGTATTCATTTCTTTAATCCTCTGAGGCCTCTGTGTTTAGTCTTTATTTCTAGTCCATTTGATGAAGAAATCGTATGTGGTGGTCGTGGGTTTGAGGCCAGGTATATATCCGAATTGGTAGGTTTAAATCCCTATTCTCGCAAATTCAGCGCGTCGACGCAAAATATTGGCATACGCCAATTTCTCGCAGACGTGTTGTCCTCGTCCTCTCGAAAAGAAGCTCATACGCTCTTCAGGATAGAATGCCATGGACAAATAAAAGATGTTCCAGGCGCTGTTCATCAAAGCTTTGAGACGCACGAGGAAGCTCTTGCAGTATGGAACGGAGCTTTGCAAAGGGGTGAAGTGGAGGCTGTCCGAGCAAATGCAGGCGCTGCATCAGCTTCCACAGCTAGAACCAGGCATAGGATAGATGGCAGTCACATGTTCCAGCCGGTGGCTCCAAGTCGAGTGGATCGCAGTGCCAGTGATCGCGCTCTGCAGTCGCGCCAGACACTATGGGATGATGTGTCTCTATTGCGTTCTCCATACCAAACGTTGCGGCCGGAACCGCCAACTGGGGTGACCCAGTACGAGGATCTAGAGGACGATCCTTTGTTTCAATCACCCAGAAGGTTGTCACCGCGAGTCACCGTGGAGGATACATCCTACACATCTTCTTGCATGAATGAAGTGTCGCATTTGCTGATGAAATCTCGCCCTGCTCATATCAGAAGGGTCGAAGCTTCCCCCGCTTCATCCATGATGTCTGTGGAAGAAACATTACCTCGAGTTCTACATCGACACCCAACTGCTCCTGCATCATTCGAGACGGGAGCGCGGTACCCCACTCTTGAAGAAATCCGCAAAGGTGAGGACTTGGATCCTCGCGTCATGATTCCACCTTCGAGGACATTTGATCCGGGAAATGTCAAACCTCGTCCAGGGGCTGTTTCTGCTCGCAGAAAGAATGACCAGATGGATGCAGAATCAACGAATCCTCGTACAACGCGTCTTGTGCGAGGTCTTCCAGCTGTCGATTATTCGGAAGACGATGGACAATCTATTTCTTCTCTTCCACGACGCCGAGTTGTCAATAAAGGGAAGAGTCGCGCACTCGCAGATGATGCAATTGAATCACTGCGCGCATCCGGTTATATTTCCTCCAACAATCGACACTCGTTCTCAGAATACTCCTACCATGTTCAAGAAGTCTACTCGGTTGAAAGGCCTGAACAGCCCAGCGTTGTTGTCGTACACTGTCCACCAGGCTGCCGCCATGGGCACTGTGCAAGCGCGTCCGCCTCTACCCCAGTATTGAACGAAAGAGTTCATTCTCGCTACGTTGACGCTGGAGTCTCTCCTATTTTATCAAGTGTGAGCTCGGCTCGCAAAAAAGCCAGTGTGCGGGATCTCGGAGCGCGGGTCTCTGATGCCTCAAGCGAGCAGGAGTTCTTTTCTTTTTCAGGATTTTCCTCCACGCCTCAAGTATCGCATAGGAGTTACGGTGTCGAATCAGATGTTCGTTCTCCATTTGCACGAGGGATGAGGGTCCCATCAGACCTGTCTGAGTAAGTGGTCAATCTGGTATCACCTTTTCGCCGTGGCGCGATCGCACATCCTTATCAATTGCACTGGATGATCTCTTTCTTCTTATCACCAATTTGGGATATTGTTATCTTTGATTGATACCCATTGCTGATCAATTCTTCGTATAGGCTGTCGACATTCGGACGACCGTCCCCTGTGATGCAGGGATCACCAGTTAGGGACAGGCATCGCAGGATGATTATCAGTCAAGCATAAGACGAAGATCAGTTTGAGCCTTGTCCACCAGAAGGTGATGGTTGTTAACGCAGATTGTTGTTTATATTGGCCTTGTTCTGCAATATCTGTTCGAGATGCAGATTGTTGTTTATATTGGTCTTGTTCTGTAATATCTGTTCGAGATGCATGGCTAGAAGGATCCTATGGGCTTAATTCCTGATGGCTTGAGTGGTAGTCTTCTTGTAATTTTTGTTGGCACCTGGCTTTAAAGCACACAATTTTCTCATGGAGAAGGAATCGGATGCAACTTGCAAGGTTAACTTTTTGCTAAGCATGATGGGGTCGAAAAGTGAAATCAACGAACGTCGAAGATCGTCCGTTGGGTGATCACGGTCGGAGTTCCCACGCCACAGACGCGTTTGGGTCGTCCAAAGCACCGGGCGTGTTGCGATATAGTAAGTAGTTCTTGGATGAATTTCTCCCCCCTGAGAATATGAATCAATCTAAGGAAGGCATACCCGCCCCTGGCTCTGCAAATACAAGCGCAGTCTGTGTGTTCGGCTACATGAAACTTCCTACTGACAACATCGATACGTCATTGGAGCTCGAATGGTATTGGAGCGGTGCTAAATCTAATGACTGTGACGGATTCTTCAATATGATGTGAGTAATGGTCGCTCTGCCACTTCCAGGCTGCAAGGTGACTGTGACTTCTACTCTCAAATGAGGATGCCTTGCGGCACCAGGCAGTCGGGCGAGTACCGCAGTGGCGAGTTCGTGGTAGGGCGTGCCTCTGGCTGGTTATTATGACATTGTGCAGTAGCCGCGAGTTTTCTTGAAGACCCTGCCCACGCACAACATGCAAGAGTATGGCTCAGCCTCTCCTGGGTGCGCCTCGCGGCAAGCCTGTTCCTCGGCTTGCAGATGATCCAGGTCTCGTTCCACCGCCCAAGCCTGAGCTTCCGGCGCTTCCCGTGGCGCTAGCTGATCGACTGCGAGGGATTGCCGATGCGGCGCTCATTGAGGCTGGTGTTATATGTGCAATCAGAACAATGGTTGTGGTTCAGTTGTCACATTCACATACCTGCACGAGGAATGCCTTTGGAGCCTCTTGCAGCTGCCGATGTTGCTGTTGCTCGTGTTCCGCGAACGCCCCGGACTCCACTTGATACGCCAATGCCGCGGCCACGGGGCGCCTTTGTTGCCGTGGCCTCGCGTTGTGCACGTTCCTCTGCTTCGCGGCGAGCAGATTCCTCCGCAGCCACGCGCGCACACTCTTCTGCCTCCCTCCGTTCTGCCTCTTCCCGCTCAAGGCGTTCCTTTTCTAGTCGGGCCTGTTCAAGGGCCTCCTGTCGTTCTTTCTGAAGTAACTCCTCATCCTTGAATTAAGCATAATCAGCCACGGTGGGGTTCAAAATCACAGAGAATTGTTAGAAAAACGCGTCGCAAGCCGAAGATATGGTATGGGGCGAGACGCTGGAAATTGACCAAAGGAAATACAGCTTACAGCCTCTGCGCCCTCCCATTGTTCGTCAAAAATCAGCTTCGCCACGGCTTCTGACTTTCCAAGCATATTGACATATTTATCTAGAAGCGCATCCGTCTGTGCGAGTTGAGTTGCCACTTGCTGCACAAGCGAACGAATAGACAAGAAGACATGATAATCATTGGCTTTTTCCAAGCTTAGCGGTAGCACACACCTCAGTTGCAGTTTGAGTAGATCGCAACGCATCGTTAAATAACGCAAAAGACGCGTTCAGCTTCTTGAGAACGTAGAGATCGCTCTGAAGCTTGTCTTCCCGTGCCTTTGCAGCGGCAACCCTTCCAATCATAGTTGAATCAGCATCGGTTTCAGAGCCATCGTCGTTTCCTTCTTCATACTCGTCGTCCTCTAATATCCTGCTTTGATCAGGTGAGAACGTCTGTGATGTTGTGGCAGGTGGTGCCAGTAGACTGAAACGTGGCCTATCATGAAACCGAAAATTTTCCGTGTCCTTGTCTAATAGTGAGAGTTCTGAGAGGGAAAGATCGGCGCCCCCAGGGCCCGTATGAAAATCTGAGTCGAATGGTTCGGGTGATGGAAGAGACCCGGACAACAGTTGTGAATCGCTAGCATCCGGAAGTGAAGACGATGGGGTGGACGGTGACCAAGACATCTTTCGGTTGACAAGAGTTCAGTTGACAGGTCAATCACGCAAATTCGAAAAGCAAAGTGATCGACGACCCCACGAAGCCCCACGATCGACGTTAACCAAGTATGTAACCCATAACGAGTCACGAAACCTGGATGAGATGGATTACGGTAATGATACAAGATAGTAGCCTTTACAACGATAGCCATGGTACACAAAGTGATACTAGGTAAAGCAGAACCGCAGCCTACAAGAAAAAGCGAAGTTGTGCTAAAAGAACAAAAGTAATGCAAATTCAAAGTTCAGTAGAATTGAAGTGTTGAAATCGAAGAAGTCCAATGAGATGCCAATTATCCATGTCCGAGTCCATTGTCTGAGTCCATTCATAACCACCAAAATCGTACACCTCTTCACTTCCGATCTTTTGCTCTCGTAAATTGGCATTTTGCCAGATTGATGAAAAAAAACACTGCAGGTAGCCTATGCTGCAGCAATTGGGAACTCTCCACTCCAGTTTCCAGAGTCGCCGAATACTGAGTTTACCGTTAGCTTCATGAACTGGGTTAAGATAGCGTCAGGGCACTTACAAACGATCCTGTACGTCCCAGCGGTGGTATCATCAGGGACTGTGACATAAACTTCACCATCCGAAAGCGAAAATCCAGACTCGATGGGAGTAGATTGGGTTGCATCGCCCTGGCGAAGGTAGATCTTGCCAGTAGGATTGGTTACCTGGGAAGGTTCTGAGGACGTATCCCAAGTGACGAGGTACGTCTCTCCGACAGTCCATGCGGAGTCAGATGTGGGGGAGATGATTGTTGGTACCCAGACATCACGCATCACAGCAGAAACAGGTGCGGATAATGCGCATGATAGAAGCGTAAGAAGCATGAAGAATGAAGTGAGAAGAGCACGGAGTGAAATGTTGGTAGACATGATGAATCGTGAAGAAATCGTTAAACTGAAGAAGAGAAACTTGGAGGGGAATTGAGTGAGCTGTTCAGGTTTGTGATGTTTACTTATATACTGCCAGCACAGCTGACCGCATGAGAGCCACGATGCGCTTTTGTCAGCGACTGAGCGTCATTTACCGAGAAGGTCGCAATTAGGCCGTCGAATCTCCACTAAGCCAGTGCTGGCAATATGGCTTCGCAGCCAAAGGCCAAGCCTGAGACAGGAACCCCCGAATTTGCCGATCCTCAATGCGGGATACATCCTGCCTCATGTATGTATCTGCACAACGGATCAGAGTCATCAGACCTCACTGGAGGCACATCTTACAAGGTACTCTTGATAACTGAAAATTTAAACTGAGGAACTACATGTACTAGTGGGATCCGACTGTGATTTGGACTCACGCACAAGTCTGTGATGTGCAATGAATGATGCAAGACTTGAGTCTGAACATGTACAGCCCATATCATATCGGATCATGGTGCACCACGATCGGTCAATGAACTACTTGCTTTCATGGCCGTAGGACTGTGTCCGACGTGGTCGCTAATAATACTTGTGGTATGAAAGCACAGGGCGGCCTTTTGACATCCGGTTAAGCGGCAGTCAAGTCACGGTAGCACAGGGCTCGCAAGTACCAGTGCTTCCAGAGCTCTAGATCTTGAGGGTGGCCGCTGGCATATCATTTCCCAAATGCTAATTTGCCCTGTCATGATCATTGAATGGAGCTTCTGTGGTCCCGGGAACCCGGACTAACAACAAGGGTCAGGTTATCGCCGCGATAACAAACATGAAATGATAAAAACAGCCTCAAGGACGAGCTCATTGCGGCACATGAATCGAAGGCTCGGCACTCGGTGGTTGAATGACACAGGAAAGAGTGTAAAAGGCGTGTTGACAGTCTCGACGCGGCCAGGATGGCAGTACTGGCAGTGGGTTCTGCACTGTCACATCAAAGGGAGTGCGTAATAACAATAATCTTGCGAGTGGTGCTCCTGTCCTTATCATGAAGAAGGAGTGATAAGAACCCTGAACGTTCTAGAAGCTCGAGCTGTACGAAATGTTATAAGAGATCTTCCACACACTCCCAAAGGTGAGTGAACGAGGCAAGGTCATAGGCTAATCATGTGGTCGGTGGCTGTGTACATTTTAGGGCATGACAGGGCATGACCAGGCATATGCCGCAAAGTGCTTGACTTGTTACAAACTTCATCAAAGAACTCAGGACGAACTCTTTATCATGGTATCACGGAAAAGGAACAGAGTAGTTGACGAGGAAGAGGAAACAAAATCGGACTTTTCAATAGTTCAAGCCGCTTCAGACGACGAATTCGATGTCGACATTTCTGGTGCCCTCACAGGCAAGAGACCAAGAAAAGATGTTCCAATCGAAAATGACCTGGATGATGACGATGGCATCGAAGAGTTAATCCACGATTCTATTACGAAGCGAAATAAAAAAGGCGGTACTGAGATGCTGAAGAAAATTAAGGGAAAAGGGAAAAGTAAAGGTGACATCGGAGGAGGAAGCTTCCAAAGCATGGGTATGTGCTCCTATTCAATGAAGATCGTGCGCTGATGGCTCTTTAGGTCTGCATCCGTCCCTTCTGCGTTCATTGACGCTCCAGGGATATCGCACACCCACACCTATACAACGTGCATCAATTCCTGCCCTTCTTGCATCTCCACCACGGGATCTAGTCGGAATGGCTCGGACTGGCTCGGGAAAAACTCTTGCATACATGGTACCTTTAGTGCAGCGCCTTGGAGGCAGACACGCACATACCTTTGGAGCTCGGGCAATTATCCTCGTACCAGCACGAGAGCTCGCCACTCAGGTTGTCAAAGTTGGGAAGGCACTTGTGCGAGGTTGGACGAACGATGCTGCCCAGCATGCAGGAGATGATGCTGAAGATTCTTTAAATAGCAAAGGCGAAAGTTTGCGCTGGAGTCTAATCGTTGGCGGGGAGGGTCTGGATGAACAGTTCGAAATGATCAGTAATAATCCAGACATGTATGTCCGTTTCATTCATGCAGGTATTTTCTGACATCCATTTCGTTTTAGCATCATCGCAACTCCCGGCCGTCTCCTCCACCTGATCGTTGAGATGTCGCTTTCCTTGTCATCCGTGCAATACGTTGTTTTCGATGAGGCAGACCGTCTTTTTGAGCTCGGTTTCGCTACTGCACTTACAGAGATTCTTGCTCGCCTTCCTGTGTCTCGTCAGACCCTTCTTTTCTCTGCGACCCTCCCGAAATCGCTCGTCGAATTTGCCAAAGCTGGTCTGTCCGACCCCAAACTCGTGCGACTAGATGCCGAGTCCAAAATCAGTTCTGATCTACGAATGGCATTTTTTTCTGTCAAACAAGCGGAGAAAGATGCATCTCTACTGGCTCTCCTCCGAGATGTTATCAAAGTCCCCTATGGAAGCACCGAATCATCAAAGGATGATGATATCGAATCTTCGAAACCCAAGAAGGGGAAGTTCAAGGCCAGACACCCAACCCATAGTGCGCCTCACCAGACACTCGTGTTCGCAGCTACAAAACACCACGTCGAATACCTTTCTGCGCTCCTCACCACAGCTGGCTACGCTGTCTCTGCTCTTTATGGCTCACTAACCCAATCTGCACGGACATACCAGATGACTCAATTCTTGGCGCAAAAGACCAGCATATTGGTTGTCACGGACGTTGCAGCGCGTGGCCTTGATATACCAGTTCTCGAAAACGTCGTAAACTACGATTTCCCTGTCGGCGCAAGGATATTTGTTCACCGCGTGGGTCGCACGGCCAGAGCAGGAAGAAAAGGTTGGGCATGGAGTCTCGTTGCTCATGGCGAGTTGCCATATCTCTGTGACCTGCAACTCTTCCTTGGTCGGCCGTTACTCACTTTGTCATCGTCCTTTCCCGCATCGGCTATGACATCAGAAGAGCCTTACACTCAATCACTACTCTTTGCTCCATTTCCACGGGACCTAATGGATTCAGAAGTTGAGTATGTTCGCACACTAGACGAGTCACAGCATACACTGCCAACCCTACGTGCCGTCATGGGGCGTGGGCATGCAATGTATGAGCGCAGTCGTGGAAAGGCCAGCCCAGCGAGTTATCGACGCGCAAAAGAGCTTGGACGTAGCGGTCAGGAAGGCGTCGTACATCCCGTCCTCACGCTGATGCGGGATGGCGATGACGCAAAAGAAGACACGAGAGAAATGGAGGAGAAGCGTGCCGCGATTGTCCGTGCGGTTACCTCATTCAAGCCTGCTGAGACGGTGTTCGAGATTGGTACTCGTGGAAAAGCAGCGACTGCTAATGCAGCACTTATGAAAGAACGGAGGAAGGCGCTTGCAAAGGCCGTGGAGCGGGCGGGATATTCAGGGCCCAGCAACTCTTCTGCTGTTGTCGACACAGACCAAGGCGGTGACGACGACCTTGGCGAAGCAGGAGATGGTGATGTGGAAATGGCAGATGAAGAAGATATTGCGGTTCGTCTCCTCATAGCTGCAAGTGTCCATACTGATTTCTAGCAGGCTGTTTTCAATGTCCCCACCAAGAAGAGTAATAACTTTCGCGATGAGGATTACTACATGTCCCACTATCAAAAAGACGCCATAACTGAAAAAGGGTATGTATATTTCATCTACTCCTGATTGTGCGCACTGAAAAATATGTGATATCTTCCTAGCTACTCGCTCACAGATGGGGCTTCTTCCTTTGCTGCTCAAGCTCAGGGTGCCATCCTTGACCTTGCAGGAGATGAGGACACTATTGGTTCGCGCCAACGCCACCAGAACAAATTGTCATGGGACAAGAAGAAGAAGAAGTTTGTCAAAGGGGGCGGGATTGGCTCCGACAACATGAAACTTCTGCGAACGGAGAATGGCACCCGGTTACCTGCTACATATAAGAGTGGCCGGTTTGACGAGTGGAAGAAGAAAGCAAGGGTGTCGCTGCCAAAGATCGGAGAAAGGGAGGTGGAAAGAAGAGGTACTGGTGCGGCCGGGCCCGGAGGGAGGAGATGGAAGCACAACAAGGTCACGGAGGCTAAGCCGCTGGACAAGCTCAGCAATGATTACGAGCGCAAGTCTAGGCAGCTAAAGAAGAAAGAAGAGGGTATCGCAGCGGAAGCAGGCGACGCAAAATCAAAAGGTCCTGGCAGAGCGAAAAAGATCAGAAGTGGCGGTCGCTTTGGAGGGAAATCAGTGGGCAGAGTCAAGACCGAGATCAAGACAGTCGACCAGATACGCAAAAACAGGATGGTTGCAGAACGGAAGAAGCTTAAGAATGCTCGGCCGAGTCGCAAAGGAAGGAATTGATTTCTACACTGTGACATTCCCCTACGCCGTATATGACATGTAATTGTCAAGCCGCATCCGAGTACTCCCACTTCACCCCCGAACCTTGAACCAATGGCACGTCAACACCCTGCATTAGGTCCACCCCAACGCTGCGCAGAGCGTTTACACACCATTCAGGGTATCCTGTATCACCGAAGTAATTATAGAAGAATGATCTTAAGTACTCAGGAAATTGGCCTTCAAGTATAGCATCTCTTGCACCGCCCATAAGCTGAGCCTGGAAAACAAGGTTATGAATTGTGAGAGCTGTTAGGTGACAAAAGATCAGCTGAGTATACTGCTAGAAACGGTATCTGAATTACCGTGAGCACCAGCTGTCTCTATCGTGACAATGTGGTGCAACACAGCACGGGACATGCCACTTGCACATGTTGGACAAGGGCAGTTCTTGTCTATAGGCTCCATGCTCTTCATGTGCTTCCCGAGCTCTATATAATCGATCAATGAGTCCGTACCGCACTGACGTTTCGCAAAAATAAGCGCACTAAGGTTGAGAGGCCCCTTGAAAGTCAAGGCCACACCAAATCTTGCAGTCCGAGTAGGGAACACGCAATCCGCCTGAGCAACTGTCAGGGAACTTCGCGTCAAGTCGTGTCAATGCCAAGCTTACCATGTCAACACCCAAGGCAACGCAGACCAGCAGATCTGGAGGCGACGATCAGGTTGGACTGCGAGGAGCAAGCAGTTCAAGCACCTTCAGCAAAACCTACGCCCATGGAGTAGCGGGGCCCTAAGTGCGCAGAAGCTTGCGGGGGGCTTCGCAGAAGAAATCGATATACTCACGATCTGAAGGTAGCCGGTCTGCACACTGCTTGATACTATGCGAGATCAGGTACACAAAGACGGCACAATCCGAAGTCAATCTTACATCTTCCAAAACACGTCTCAAGAGGGTTCATCAGGTCGCCGAAGCCTCCAGCTGAGTTAAAGAACCCACCCTTTTCTTCCCCTCCGCTAAGGCCGCCTATAGCATACCCAGCAACTCGGTCCTTCCGCTCGATCATTGCATCGAGACATAGATCTCGTAACGCTGGGTCCAACCCTCCTTGAACAATAGCAAAAAGGTTCTGTTTGTCTTTTCGGCCGGATTTTTCATGCTGTTCGATGCAACGATCTAGCCATCGAACAGATCGATGCATGGCCTCGCCAACTCGAGGCCCGACAGTCAAACTACTGACTGCTAGCATTAAACACTGGTAAAAATATGATATGAGCAGTCTTACCCACGTCATCCAGTTGCATGATAATATCCGCTCCGATTGAATGCTGTATAGAAATACTTTCCTCGGGCTGCACCGCTCATCAACAGAAGAAGCGGTGGTAAGCATCAGAGACCAACCGTCAGCATTGTTGGCTCTCCATTGAATGGACTAGCAAATAAAGCGCCGTCCTCAGTAATAGTGGTGAACTTGCTCAGAGAGACCAGCTGGAAGCCTCCGCTGTCCTTCGAAATACTAAGCTTGAGCGTGACGAACTTCTGGAAGTTGCACTTACAGTGAGAAGGTTGCGGTTCCAACCTTGGAATTTGTGAGCCCCTCCCGCTTCATCAAGGACTTTGATCCCGGGTCGCAAATTCAAATGGTATGTGTTGTTCAAAATGAGCGTGATTCCAAGCGATTCAACCTGTTGTGGGGTCAAGCCTTTGATCGCTGCCTGTGTTGCTACGGGCATGAATGTAGGAAGCATTGTGACGCCGTCTGTGAACAGCTTGAACCTGGTCTATCCTGCTCTATCTGATAAGAACCTTACTCACGGGCAAGCTTCATTCTGCAAACTCGCGCTCGAGTTGTATGGCATTTTGCAATGACTTCGAATTGCATACTTCGAGAAACGGTCGGAGGAGCCCAGAGAGGTCAGTTTATGCAAGACCCGAGAGTACACTTTGAACTTAGGGAGTAGAAACTGTTCATTAGACTTGGGCTTGTCTGGCACTAAGGCACTTTGACGCCACTATCAGGACAATTCTAATCACGTGACTTTATTTTCGGTCTTTGCTGCTTCTTCGAGGGCGAACATACGAAAGAATGCTTGAGCCTGTTCATAAATGGCCTAGAACAGTTCGTCGAGTGCCCTTCAGGTGGAGGTTTATCCACCGGACCAGAAACTTACATTTAGGACGAGATCTTTTGTCGGAATTGAGTGCTCGCCAACTCATTGCTGATGTGACGCGGTGAGAACTACCCTATTCATAAAGCAGGTGGATGTATTGACATGTTCCAGCCCAGATGATCTCGCTAAGCATCTGCAGAGAACACGGACCATCTATGCTGGGGTTGACCCAACAGCAAAGGCTTTACATGCGGGTCACCTCATCCCGCTTCTCTGTCTCTTCCATTTCCGCCTCAGAGGGCATTCTACGCTAGCACTTGTAAGCTTGTGCGTTTCTACGTTCGAAACTGACTGAATGTACTCAGATAGGTGGAGCGACGGGGCTTGTTGGAGATCCTTCTGGCCGTATGTTGGAACGCTCAATGTCGGAAAAAGCTCAAATTGAATCCAACACTACAAAACTCACGGAATCTATTCAGCAATTTTTCTCTCGCGCGACAGAGTACGCCCTCGATAAGGTTCCCCTCCTGACAACTTTGGCCCAACCACAGGTTGTTAATAACCTAGACTGGCTAAAGGAATTGAATCTTCTGGATTTCTTGAGGAATACCGGCATTCATTTCCGCGTAAATCATATGCTGGCAAGGGATAGGTCTGTCGTATTACATCCCTACATTTCCTTTGTTGATGACAACGTGATGTAGTGTGAAATCGCGAATGAGTGCACAGAATGGCATCACGTTCACTGAGTTCACGTACCAGCTTCTCCAAGGTTATGACTTCTACGAACTTTTTCGCACAAGGGGGTGCACTATTCAAGTAGGTGGATCAGACCAGTGGGGAAATATTCTTTCCGGTATCGACCTCATAAACAAATCCGAAGGGGATTCCAATGGATACAATGAGGGGAGCTTTGCAGTGACCACACCATTGCTAACAACCTCGCAAGGAGAGAAGTTTGGGAAGAGCGCGGGGAATGCTGTATGGCTTGATGAAAATCTCACAAGCTACCTAGACTTCTATCAGGTATGCTGACCGATCAACTATTTCTGGGCCGTCAATTTGATTTTGTCAACAGTTCTTCCTTCGTACAACGGACGCTGATGTTGAAAAGTATCTCAAGATGTTCACTCTGCTTCCTGTCGAAGAAATTGATGATATTGTGCGAGAACATGAAATTCTGCCTGAACGCCGATTGGCACAAAAACGTCTTGCCGAAGAAGTAACACTGATGATACACCGAAGTGAGAGTCAACCTGCTGTCCTCTTGCACTCTCTGACACGTCCTGCAGAGGAAGGCCTAGAGGCTGCACGGGTTGCAACCGACGTCCTTTTTGGAACAGACTACTCGACTTTGCGCGCGAAAGATATTGTAAAATCTCTTGCCAACGACCCACGGTTTGTTCTCTGCGCGGAGGATCAGTTGCTCGGCATCACGCTCCCAAATATTGCTGCCAACTTCGGACTCACTTCATCAAAGTGTTCGCCTGCCTTTCTCTAATTCCACTGAACTGGTTGTTGACCTACACTTTTTCAGCGGCCGCACGACAACTTGCCCTCGGGAACGGCTTGTATCTGAACAATGTACCTCAGCCAGACGTACACTTCAAGCTCGAGAGGAGTCGCCTGATTGATGGACAGGTGGCAATTTTACGCGCTGGAAAGGACAAGCACTTGATTCTGGCATTGCGTTGAGTCTCCCATACATCATGCCTCGCGAGCTGTGGCATTCTAGATTTCAATACCATTACTCAGCATTGTTGTATATCGTTACGTCTGACAATTGCTGCAATTCACAACGATAGTGTCTAATTAAGTGCCATATGGCACATCGAGGCCGGACAGTACAATACACAATACATACTCCGTGAATGAATGCTGTTTTGCTTCATACTTGTGCCTGGGAAGTTGTCGTATTGCAATAACAAAAGCGATCGTAATCATCGTAAGAAGGCACATGATGCTGATAAACTGAGATATATGCCCTGCAGGGATTTACGCATTAAAAATGGGACGCGATGAAAATGGTGTTCGAGGACCATTGCGGCTTGCCTTCACATCAAGTGGCGCCACTTTTGGAATTGAGTATTTCAGGGAACCAGACCTCGCATTGTCCATCATACCGTCATCTCTAATTACATGTAACTGAACCTTTGCTGCATCAGTCCACACGAATTGCACTGTACAAGCGCCGCACAGCCCAGTACGAAGCGAGGAATCCAATGGTCCCTTGATGAGGATGTTAAGTTTTACTGTTATGATCATGAGACATCCCTTACCGGTGACAAGAAAGTCGAAAAGGCAAATCAAGAACAAATACCCGAGGTATAACGTGACGCTTGAAAGAGAGTCCAGCGAAAGTCGGGATAACCAGTAGAAGAGTCCATAGGCCAAGATCCAAAATGCACTTCCACCGCCAGTTAAGAAGGCACGCCAGTGCCACCTGCATAGAGAATCAATACAACAGATTACAAATAAATATAATTCCACATACCGATACTCTTCAGCGCAGAGGTTGAAATATGTGAACAAGATTGTCACGGTTCCAGTGGTGAGTGCGACAACTCCTGCTGTTAGCGCGAGGAACCCAAATGCATAGTAGGCGCGAGATGCGAAGAGGCTAGACATGACAAAGTATAGTTCCACGAACGCAGCCCCTACGACGTTGACAATACTGTGAGCAACGAGGAACAAAATATGATCTGTATCTTACCAAATGGCAGGATGCCTGCGAGTAGCGCGGAGGCCTGCAACAGGGTTCAAAATTATGTGTACGTTGGTGGCCAAGACTTACCCATGGTCGAAGGTGTCTGGGAACTGGTGGGATCTGACGGGGTATTTGATTGACTCTGACAGGGTGTGACACGCCCTGAAACCAAATAAATTTCAATCACGTCAAACAGGCAACATACGCACCCCTTGCCTTGACCCAATGTATGATCCAATCGAAGATAGCGGAGCAGAAATTCCAAACCAGAGGACAACGATCAAGAGCATAGTGGCTAGTGTAGGTGAAGACCATGTGAGCTCCAAGGTCGCCGACACAATCACTACTTACAAAATGGAACGGCTCCTGAGGAGCCAGCAACGAGAAGGAAAAAGTTCAACAAGAAGATTACTATGAACACCAGCCTAGTGAATGGAATCAGCCAATAATGAATCAGAGTAATGCTGCAGACGAGAGGTCTTACGTCGGGAGAATGGTGGCTGTAAGAAACGCATTCTTTCTGTGATCAAGGCCACCAAGCGATGCATATATTCTACTCGAATAATAACCTCCGATCCTGGTATCTCTGCATAAGCAGCTGAGCGCTTCAGTGTGAAGAGATGACTTACCCTCCGAAAAGGGTCCAGCACACCATCATGACAGTGGCAAGAGAACCACGGTTTGAAGGCGAGAGGAAGCCCAGCAATGCAAAGACTATTGGGAGATTGACGTTAGACAGTAAATGGAGGCTCTGGGATTGAAGGAACTACCAAGGGTAACGGCGCACATGGCGCACAACTGAGCACCATTTCCTACCATAACGGAGAGCACCATTGAGTAACTGGGCGCGCGGAAAACTTCTCCATGTACGAGCTTCCAGCCCCAGTCTTCTTGAACATCTTCCTGCATGTCGTATGGCGTTAGAACAACTACGTTTAGAGTGTTCATCACCCACACTAAGATCAATTGCATTGTATCGTGAAATCTGCGTGGACGTCAGCTTGGAGTATATGTCAATGATGCTAAAAAAAGTCACATCTCTAGAGACAGTGCGCCACAGAATCATGGCTACCATAACACAAAGGAAAACGACGATGATAATTGAGTTGATGAGGCTGAACCAATGTATCCGGGGGTCAAAAATATGGAGATAGTTGTCCCATCGAGTGGCCTATGAATGATAAGAAAAGTTCAGCGCATGTCTTGCACGACAAACATACCCATGGCGTGTCGGATTCCTGAACGCAGGAAGTGAGTCAGATACTCACTCAGACCAGTCTTTACACAAAAGACTTACGTCCCAAGTTACTCGGTAGGTATACCGTACTTTGTTTCCTTCGGTTTCAGATAGACTCAACTTCTGAACTTCGGCATCACAGTTCGGTGTACTTGTATCTTCTTGAGCCCCGCCGCGGCTGCAACGAGGATGTAAGCAGAAGTGAATGAGGCGGAAAACTCTTCGCGCACCTAGATGGCCATACCAGGACTCCGACAACGCGGTACACTCCAGGTGACGGCTCGTGATATCTGAGTGAGGCAATGAGCTTGATGAACTTTAGCGTTGATATGCAGGCAGCCGTACCTCAGAACAATCTCATAATGGTTGTTTAGGTAGGGAACATCATCGTCATCATTCCCAAGGTTAAACCCCATGTCGAAGAAGAGGTCCCCAGTCTTGGTGTCTTTCTTCATTTCTGCAGCTGGCAGACCATCCACCAGCCAGTTGAGAGCATAATCCTCACGGATCCGCTCATTGATGAATTTAGCGTCTTCTCCAGGTATTTCAGTGCTACACAGCATTTGACAAGTACCATTAGCCTCTAGCATTTTGATCTGAAGAAACGGTTTGAGTCTCCACATATGATTATCTGGCCAGTGACAACATACATCATATGGAGATGTGAATATTCGGTCGCCAAACAATATCGATCCCAACGACTCGGGCTGGCCCTTGGCACCCCCATCGGGTTCGCAGAAGTGAAATTGAGGATTGTAATAGTCGTCTATGATGCGTCAATGTGTGTTGCTAATTGCAATCCATAGGTGAGCTTCTCACAGTTTATGAGGGATTTCTAAAGGCCAGTAAGTACAGTCAAGCCCTAGCATCATAGCGAACAACATACCAGCTTTGAGTTGTCACTTCCAGTGAGCATGGGAGTGAGCGCATTGACATACACATTGACAGGATCGCGCAGCTCATAGTTGCGGGGTGCTGCGCCAGGAAGATAGAACGCGTTGGCAGCTGAGGGAAGGAAGGTCAGTAGCGCACCCCCCAAGATGTAGCTTCCAGTGGCTCTCATGGTGGTAAAAGAGCGTTTCAGGGCGTTGGAAGCGTTAAGGAGGTGGTGTAAGTAGTAAGGTACTATTAGGACACGACACCGACTAGCGATCACGTGACAGGATAGCCTCGAATAAAAATATATTAAATAATTATTTTATACTACCCTATTCTTTCATCTCGTCCATGAAACTACAATTTTGTCCAACGTTGATCCAACGTACGCCATCATTAACCCCCCTCAGACTACTAGTACTGCCATTGCAAGGCAATCATGCATACGCACGACTTTCGGTCCCATGGCTCACACTACCAGCGGCAGTAATGTTATAGCGCGTCCCCTCGTCCATGAAGTGAAAATGCTATAATTCGTTGCTAAAGTAAATCAGATCAAATTAAGGTTCAAGCGCTTATGCTTGAACTATAACTTCTTGACCAATCATTTGCATTGATATTGATCTCCGAGCAAGCCGCATCATGATATCGTCCTTGGGACCGGGTCACCAGGTTGCCTGGACAGGTCGAATCGTTGAGGGAACCATCACATCGGCTCAGCAGTGATATCCCGGGTCTTCAATAAATGCCAGTCCCAGGCCTATCTGCCCACTTCCGATCTTCATCCAATCCAGCTCGACATGACCTCCCCATCTGAGATTGCACTGCGTCTTCAGACCGTCAAAGTAAGTTCTCCCAGCTTGCTACTAATTTTGATCCTCATGAGTCCGATTGAGTCAGTATTTCAAGAGTACGTAACAAAAATTACTATGATACTGCCGCCTTTCCGACATAGCTATGAAAGTGGCAGGATTGGCAGTCTTGGTATGAACTTCATTGAGCATATGAGTCAGATATGCGCTAACATCAGTGGCAGTTTTTTGACTACTGTATCGAACTGACAGACGAGGTGCGTTGTACATCTGCTTTTGTTATCGGAGTTTCGCTTGACACCAAAGTACTAGATCCACCTCACTTGGGGGAGGAAGTGGGATTTCATTCGCATCATTTTTGCGGTGGCTCGCTACATGCCTTTTATTGATGTCCCGATAGACTTGATTTGTACGTGTCCGTTGCATTTACATAGTTGCATTACTCAATCGATGATCAAGATTCCCTTGGACCCACTTCACCACAGCTTGTGAGTACCAATATTGGAGATGATGTATTGCATCCATAGAAGCTTTATGCTAGTGCCTGTCACTATACCAAGCCTCCTCCTGTGAGTATCCATTCCGTTGCAATATGAAATTTCCACCTTTCTTATAATTTTGAAATACAATCCAAAGGGCTTAATATAGCTGGCACCGTTGCCGCAGAATGTAATAGATAAATCCTCCGCATTGTTTTAGTATAATCCTCACCGGATTTCCAGCACTCCTTCTCATTAGGACGTACACGTTATGGGGAAGAAATAGAGTGTTGCTTGTTGCCCTCCTAACGCTTGCGCTGGTAAATCCATGCCCGCAATCGGCGATATCCATCTCAGTCAGAATTTTTTGCAGGGCTGCGTTGCAGGATGCGGGGCGGTCGGTGCCAGTGCTTCATCCTTGTTCAAATGTACGTTATCACAACCCTCCTTGAATAGTCTCCAGTCGTCCGACGTGACTATCATGCAGACCAGGATCCCCCACTAGCAACTTCTGGCTGTTACCAAAGCCAAAGAATTGCAATTTACGCAGTTAACTATGCCCTGCTGGGTCTTTATGAGACGGGTCAGTTTTTTCCCTTTCTTTAGAGCTACTAAAGCCGACCACACACATAGTCATACTATTCCTCAATGTTTTTCAAGCCTGCCATCACCGACGAGGGCCGGGGAGTAGCCGGCTCATTACACATTTGTACTGGGATGGTATAATTTATGTTCTGTGTATACTAGGTGAGCGCCTCTCGTCGTTGAATTCGGAGTGACACTCAATGACTGTATAAGCAATGACAATGGTCAACATTGTAGTTATAGCTTTCCTTCCGGTAAGACAGGTCCTTTTCAATTAGGTTTTGCTCATATTTTGGTGGAGTCGGATTATGCAGAATCTACCAACACGTAGGTTTCATCCTATGAACATTTTGAGCATTTTAACATTTATCTTTATACCCAGACTACAGGCGGTTTTTCACAGCGTTTTATCGTCTCGCCTTCTTTTCAACCTACGAGCCATAATACAACGGCGACACGAGCAAACCATCGTCTCAGTTATGGAGACGGATCTTCAGTTCGGACACAGCATTCCTTTGTACCCGATATCTCAACGTACGGAGCCCACACAATCCATTTAAAATCAGCTTCTGGAGAGCGATACAAGTACAATTGAAATCTCGCCATCAAGGCGCTTGCAAAAATTCCGCGATCTTCTCTGTTATGAAAGCGACATCTTGCGGGTTAGCGCTGCCCCCTGCAACATGACCCCAGATCGATGGGATCACATGCAACTTAGCATTTCTGAGGTGAGACACTTCGGTTTCGCTGTCCTCCGGCTTGTATGATATCAGTAGTCGGCTCGCGGTTGCTTAGTGCAGGACTGACCGGAAAGTAAAGATCCGTCTTCGAAGGCATAATGAGTCCCTTTGCTTTGATGCTCTTCAGAGCCTTTTCGTAGTCTCCGCCATCACGAACGATGGAAATGTCTCCCTTCTGCCATGTGTTCAAAAGTGCAATCATGTCGTTTGCATCCCAGTTATTGACATATCCTGCTTCCCACCGCTCCCTGATGAACGAGTTCAGGTCCGGGTACCTGTTCACAAAAATCCATGAAGGAGGCTGATGAACATGTATTCCGACATGGCTTACTCTCCGTCCATCAGGTGCTTGTACTCCCGGAACCACTGTAAAAGTTATATTATCGTGATCTTTCATCGTGAAGTAACTCACAGTTTGCCCATAGGCCCATGCGCTGTAGACTCGGCCGAACGCTCGGATTCCATGCTGAGGAGTGCTCTGATAATGACCGTCGGCAAAATCTTTGCTTGCTAACATCGCTGCCTTCGGTCCTTCTAGGAAGCTAAAGCACAAAGTCGCATGCGGACAAAACAAATTCAGACGTGGACCCACCATTGGTTATGGGGACTCGTGCGAGCAGACGAGCATATAGAAACAAACCGCTCTACAAAGTCAGGGAAGACGACCGGCCAGTGATATGCCTTGGGATAGGACCTGAGAGTGTGTTCGTGATATCCTAAAGAGGCGAAGTACCTGTTGTCCGCCCATAGAAAATCCAACCACACAGAAGGCCTTGCGCACTCCAAGGTGCTTTGTCAAAACGGCATGCTGAGCGCGACTTGTTAAAGTGAGCCTGTATTCTATCTGCAAGTCGTTTCATAACCTACATGTTATCTTCGTAGGAAACGAACGGGAAGTACGGGCCATCATAAGGTGCAGGCTAACGGGCTGTCAGAGAGGGGGTACAAATGTGCAGCTCAAACTAACTGTGTTAGAAGGAGAGGATGACTACATCGTTTCAGTCAGCGAAACGGAAAAACAGTAGGCAGCGCACCTCTCCATTACAGAAAAGCGCGAATGTCACCACGAAGTATTTATTTGGGTCAAGGACCTGTTGTCAAAACATGGAGATCACGCATTCCACTACACAAACATCTACATACCTTGCCTTCGCCAACGAGGTAGTCTTGACCTGTGTGTGATTAGATGAATCACTACCTTCATACTCACAATCAACAGAACATACTCCCAAGGGCGAGTTTGGCCCCGTAACATGTCGGGAAAACAATCACTTTGTCATTGCTTGGGTCTCCGTATGTCCGGTATGCGGTTACGGCATCAGGGAGTACTCCTCCTGCTACTTTGAAGCGACCATGATGATAATACTGGGTTGGTGCCTGCATGATGGAGAACGGGCGGGGAGAGGATACCGTCTACACAACGACCGTATGCTTTTATGTCACGCGTGTATGGATTTCATATAGGCGGTCCGACATGCACCATGAGTACCGATAAGTGCTATTTGAGCTGGATAATGAATCTTATGGTCACAAGCCACCTAAAGAAAGATATAGATAGCATTGTTTGAAGTTCCTCGCTGGGCATTGACGTTTGGTGTGAACGGCGACCGAGTGCACTAACCGATAGGTTGTTTCGGTAGAATATAACAGCAGGGCGTGTGAGTGCATTATTTCGATTGATGGGGTGGCCGTGTTATCTTGCTTGCCATATCACCAAACTTTTGAGATCATTTTACAGAGTTGGAGATACAAGATTGACTAGCTTACACACTTGATTCACATGCGCGGCTTTGTAGATGATTTCTGAAATAGCTCGAACTCAAGGTTCCTCCAAAAATTTCTTCACCTCTGCTTGTATGAACTCATCATCCTGTACGTTTGATCCTCCCCCGGCTACAGAACAAGAATATCAGCACCGCGAAGTTCAAGCAAATTAGGCCTGACAAACTTACACATATGGCCCCACTCCGAATCGATAATGACGAGTTTTGCGTTGTTCAAGAATTTCATCTCATTCTGACAGTCCTCCGGCTATCCAAGGAACTATCAACCCCGAACCAAATTTAAAAGGTGAAAAGACTCACAGGGAAGTACAGGTCTTTCTTGCAAGGCATGATCAGACCTCTGGCCTTGATCGCTCCTAGGCAGTTCGCAAAGTAACCTCCGTCGCGTATGAGAGAAACATCCCCCATCTGCCATGTGTTCAAGAGTGTCAATAAATCGTTGGCGTCCCACCCTTCTAGGAAACCTCCTTCCCAGTCCTCTCTTAAGAAGTCGTTTAGGCTTGTGTATCTAGTGGTCATATTGATAAAACAAAGAGTGGAACATAATAAATGACGCACTTTCCGTCAAAGAGATAACCTTTCTTGGCATACCACTGCGGCAATTTCAGTACGACAGTCAACTCGAGGTTCGGAAGCTCACCGCCTGGCTATACGCCCATGCGCTGTATGCACGGCCAAATGCCCGGATACCATGTTGAGGAGTGCTCTTGTAGTGGCCATTCTGGAAGTCTTTTGAAGCCGAAAGAGCGGCTTTAGGACCTTCTAAGAAGCTGCGGTCGGATTAACACAGTCACAAATACAAGGTGTACAAAAGTACCATTGGTTATGAGGGCTAGTTCGAGCAGATCCACAGATGGGGATGTATCTTGACCAGGATTAGAGAAAAGTTACTGAAAGAGCGGTCAAAAATATACCTTTCAACAAAGTCAGGATACATGACTGGCCAATAGTAAGCCTGCAAGGTCTCAGCAAAACCATCGTTGCTCTCCGCAAATACATTTACCTGCTGAGCGCCCATTGAAAATCCAATCACGCAGAATACTTTCTTGACACCAAGCTTCTGGGTGAGCACAGCGTGCTGTGCCCGGCTAAACTATGTCAGCGACTTCGACAATCTAAGATGGAACAAGCTCACACGTTGTCCTCGTAGGAGATAGTAGGGAAGTAGGGACCGTTGTATGGCGCAGGCTATCATCGACGTCGTGAATTCTTGTGTCAGACAGCACTCTGAGGAAGCTCACTGTGTTAGAAGGTGAAGAAGACTGAAGTGACAGGTGAGTTGAGCTTGATCAGACCACCTTCACGTTATGTAGCTTACCTCTCCATTGGAAAATAAGGCGAGGGTCACCACATAGTACTTACGCGGATCCAAAACCTATCGCTGGCGTCAGCCGGAAAACACGATCAAGCTATATGGGGTTACCTTGTCTTCCCCTACCATATAGCTTTGACCTAATAATCCATTTGCTAACTCAAGTTCCAGCCATCGGATGAAAAGCATTTTGGAAGACTCACTGTCCAGTTTTCCACCATAACATGTAGGAAACACGATAACCGGATTCTTTGGGTCGCCAAATGTCTGGTATGCAGTAATGGCATCAGGTAGCACACCACCTGCAACACGGAAGCGCCCATGGTGGTAGTATTGGATTTCAAGGTCCTGAGACATGGTTAGGAGCGAGGGATATCGAATCCATCATCAATGAGTGGGCCAAACATATAGCATTCTCAGACTGGAGACTCTGATAGAGCTGTCGAACACCGGCACTGAACCATGTGACAAGTTTGTGGGATTCGAAGATATTCATAGATAATAATGTGAACCACAGGCACAGAAGTCTTGACCCTTTGGGAACTCCAAGGGATAGACTCGTGATCAGCCGCGTCACACGACGATGACTGGGAGTGGGGTGAGGACATAGTACTGGGGTGTTATTACACAGTAGAGTATCATCCTCCATCTCACGCCGATGACGACAAGGTCACGGAGTCAGAGTCGACTGTGCAAGGAAACTTGTCTTGAACAAAATCACTGTCATACAGCAGATTAATAGCCGCTACTGCGAGCCAGCCCATAAGAGAGTGCTTTCAAAGTTCAAGTCACAGTTCACTCAACTCACTTTCCTGCTAACTTGCAGCATGGCCTGAGGCCCTGAGTAGCACGCCCATAATCAGAAGATTCAGAACGTCGGAAGCTAAACATTCTCACGTGATCATAAGCCATGCTGTGGCTGATAAACTGTAACAGTTATAATTAAGGTTTCGGGATGGTGCCGAGCTGGTCCCCAGCACAAGTAGAAAGTTATCCTCGCCGTCCTCGTCGACTTCAAGAATGGGCTGTATGTCGCTCTCGCTATGGCCATCACTGGAATAATCATTTACTAATGGACTCTTCCATCAGCCAACAAACCTCGTGGACTTCAAGCCGCTCGTAAGCTTCGCAATGACCGCCGTGTAAACCGATGGGTTCGTGCTCGTAATCTCTGGGACGTCACACATCTGAGATTATGTGCTTTTCTCAACAGGCGGATAAGGCGTATAAGAAGCGCGCCCTCGGTAACGTTTACAAAACCTCCCCTACTGGAGGATCATCACACGCAAAGGGCATCGTCCTCGAGAAAGTCGGTGTCGAGGCCAAACAACCCAACTCTGCCATCCGTAAATGTGTCCGTGTACAACTTATCAAGAACGGTAAAAAGGTCACGGCTTTCGTGCCTGTGAGTGCTTTCATAGTTGCTTGTCGTGAGTTTACTAATACATGGATATAGAATGATGGTTGTTTGAACTTCGTTGATGAGAACGATGAAGTTCTCATCTCTGGTTTCGGTCGTAGTGGCAAGGCCAAAGGTGATATTCCTGGTGTGCGCTTCAAAGTAGTGAAGGTCTCAGGGGTCGGTCTTCTCGCTTTGTGGAAAGAGAAGAAGGTCGGTTTAATCAGAATTATACTGCTTACCATTGTGCTCATACTCTTCGCAGGAAAAACCCCGGTCATAAGCGCCATTCACTTGTCACTGTCATCTCATGTTATCGCATTACCTATGATTATGCCTGTGCCGCACATGCCGCACACCAATGAAAAGTTGAAACCACCATGCCATAGGATGACGCCGCGATTTTCTTGTCTCGTAATCTACCAAACACGTCGTTGGGCAATATTCTATGGCAGGCTGTCGTCATCATTCGCCTGATATCCAAATGCATGCCATTGCAAAAACATTATCCACGTGAAATTGTGAATTAAAATGTGCTAATCGTAATGAGTATCGTCCAGTCATAAATGGGCGCATCAAATCGTCAATCGCGCCAGTTCATACTATCGTGATGCCTTGACCTTGCATGTACCTCCGTAGGTCCTTCATCAGCTCCAACTGCTCGTCAACAGTAAGCCCGCTAACGATCATCTGCAAGATAGAACCCACGCTGACGTGGTGTTCTCGAATAAGGCTGCTATAATAAACGTAGGTAAACACGCCCATGAGGAATCTAGGGATGGTGAGTATCTTGATACAATGCATTGGAGATTTGCAACTAACTGGCAGTCCATGCGATCGGTCATCCCTCCATGACCAGGGATGCTGTGACCGAAATCCTTGATGTTGAAGGCGCGCTTGAAACCAGACGCGAAAAAACCTCCAAACGGTGCCACGAGCGATGCGAAAACTGCGAAAACTAGGAGATGTAGTTGGTATGGTGCATAGGGAATCACAGTCACTGATTTTCCGAGCTAATGGCGACTCTGAGCAGTTACACAAAACATCATCAGTTTTCACTCACGAGTTGCGAAAGAAATACCCTGAGAGGCGACCAGATTTTCCACACCTTCCAGACAAACACTGGGTTAGGTGTACACTGAACATTACTCCAGGCAGAGACTCCAAGATCATGTACAGGACAGATCATGTAGTTGAAGCGCATGAAGTACGAGCCCCAGAGCACACTGAAGAGGAGGGTGCTCCAGAAAGCACCCACAAACCCTTCCACAGTTTTCTTCGGCGAGAGCTTGATCAAAGGTGTGCGCCCAACGGTCATGCCCCACACATATGCAAAGATATCATTGCAAATGACCAATGAGGCGGGAACCCAGAACCAAATCATGCCCTCAAGGATATTGTTAACGATGAAGTGACTGCAATTTACTTTTAGAATGAAGACTGAAATTGGACGAGATTCATACCCAGAGACAACGATCAGTAGCAGGCTCATGTGAACCCAGCAGAAGAGGCCGAATTGCTGCTTGAGGAATCCACGTTTGAGAGACATGACGAAACCAACGAAGCCGATGGTATAGAGCATAAAGCTGATGATTCTGTGATTGGTAGCAAAAGGAAGCAGTTGGCCGTCCGAGAATATAACATGCTAATCACCAACTCAGCATATATATTCACAGCATTGATTAACCCGTACCTTGAAGTAGTAGATGATACTCTCCCCGTACAGAAAATAGTTAGTAACTGCAAAGAAGTACCAATTGAGAGTTTTGCTCCATGGATCCTTCTTTCCCTTATTTTCTATCTCTCCAGATTCCGGGGCATGGCTTTTGAGTGAGAATAGAGCAGTGACTTCGCGGTAGACAAGCGTTTGACACAGCATGGCGAGCATGATCATATAAACATGACCCATGAGTAGCAAAGCTAAGTAATGATCAGATACTAACACAACCTTCTATTTGAAGCAGAAGAATGCATACCAACGAAAACTCCGATCATGATGAACGTCCATAATGTTCGTGTTAGAATACTTTGTCGTTTCTTTGTGCGTTCAGCTTCTTGCGGGTCAGGTTCACTTTTGAGTGCTTGCTCGACGTCAGGTATTGAGACAGACTGTCCTTTCTCGTCCAGCAACTTGCTAGGGAGAGGATGCAGTGTAGAGTTGTCTGAATATTCCATCAATTCCACTGATCAAACACTCAACAGAAGTCAAGATGCATACTTTCCGCGACATTCACATGTTGTATATCTCCGTTAATAACAGGTTCTGGGAGTGATGGTTCCGCTACCTCAAGCTGAGGCGCTGGCTCATGTTGTAGCTCTGCGGTGGGCTTTAACTCGGGAGCAGCATGTGATGCAGGGAGAGGAGATATGTCTGCCACTACTTCGTCCATACGCTCAATAGACTCTTCCAGAGAGGGCGTATGTCTAGGTGAACTATCCGCGGTACCTGCCTTTGAGGAGGCTTTGAGTTGTCTTCGCCTTTCGGTGCGAGCTTGTTTTTGAGCCTTCTTGATTTGATTTTTAGATGGCTTCGCATGCTCGTTGCTAGATAGCCCAGTGAGCAAATGTAGGCGTAAGGTCACAAACGTCGGTGAAGACGAACCTGGTCACCTGGGTCAGTGGTGTTTCTTCCTCTTGTTGTTCGTCCTCGACGTCTTCCCCGTCGTCGACGGTGAGAGCCTCGAAGACAGATCTAGAAACAAATGGCGGGTTCGCTGATGTGCCAAAGGACCTACTCATGGTAGCAGACAAAGTAGCAGTTAAACGTTGGTTAAACGTTAAGGTTTGGTGCATGCAGTTTCCTGTTACTTCAAGTTGAAATGCAACACGTGAATTGTGTCACGCTAAACCAAACATCGTTCATTTTTACTCATAAATCTATGATGCTATTATTACTGAGGTATGTGCATGATGAACCTCCCATAAGCAGGGGGGCATGGTTAAACCTAGACTGAATCTCTAGGGAATAGTAATAACAGTTCAAAAGCCCTTCGTAAAGCCCAAATATACCGAGGTCCGGCCATAAATCACGGACTAGAATTTCCAGGCGTCGTCGACTTCCATAGCCCAGGGAACTGAAATCAGCGTTAGTACAAGGTGCTATGAATTATCCTAATTGCAAGCTCACATTTAACGAGAAGGGTCTTCGAGAAGATCTTTTCGATCGGAACGTTGTGAACGTTGCACCATGCAGCTGTTATCCTAGATGGCAGAATGAGTCAATGATTTCATGATAGAGAGCTACAAACTCACCGAGGGTCCAGGTAATTAATTTTACTGAAGGAGATGCAGTGAGAACGAGTTACCTGAGTGAGAGCACGACATACCTTGTGCCAAGAGCAACCTCTTTGCCGGCCTCCCGATCGTCCATTTGAAGCTTAAAGGTCTTTATCTTCTCGTCCAACTTCTGGACAGCTTCCTCAATCTTCTCGGGAGCACGGTCCCTCTTAAGTTTGGCTTTCCCTGTGCCGCGCTCCTTTGCAACCCTCTTGTATTCGGCCTCAGCGGCCTCAATCTTCTCCTGCAGGACTGAGTCAGGCTGAGGTTTATTGCCTTCCTGAACAAGTTTCTCGTTATCCTTGGCGAATTTCTTCTCCGCCTTCTCTATTTCCTTCTTTTTAAGGGACTCCTCGTGTTCCTCTATCCAATCGTCATCTAAATCGGACTCGTCATCGGCGTACTGCTTCTGCTTCTTGTATTTGGGGTCCACATTAAAGAGAACATGACGAAGCTTCATACGATCATACTTCAAGGAACGAAGCTATTCATGCTGTCAGTCACAGATCGTATCGTGTGGGGGACAGACGAACCCTATCACGCATCTTGCCCATCGATTGTTCGTGAGTCTTCGGCGCGCTACGTTGATGGTTACAAAGAATGGCCACCATACGATTTGCATGATTATATGCATTCAACTTCTCCTGGATAGTGGCATTCGCTGGCGTTCCTTCGTCCAATTGCTGTTGAAAGGTGATGGACGCGTTGTAAGTACGAAAAACCTTTGCAGTCAGTCCTTTCATATACGATGCCAGGTGCTTATTCAGTAGCGATGTCTAGGAGAGAACTATCAGCGGAATGTTTCAAACGTTTGAAGGCCGTTGCATCACATTGACGCGGTCAAAGAGGTTATCGCTATCCTCTTTGTTGTCCTTGAATAGTTTGATATTCTTGAAAACCTGGGGATCCACAGAGACTCGATTGTAGTATCGGATCGAGTCCTTACCCAGGAAATCAAAGATGAGAAAATCCGGCGCTTCTAATGTGACGTGTTCACACCGCAGAGAGCAGCAGCCCACGGTGTCGGCCTCATCTTCACCCTTTTCATTTCCAGCTCGAAGGGCAAGCTTGTCAATGAAGTACATTGCCGTCGCACGCTGCCTGTCTGCCATAACTTTGCTCCGCAAATCGGCAGAGTAATCTTGGCGAATACGGTCAACGTGGTTCTGCAGGAGTGTTAGTCGATAGAGCAACAGAGTCAGCAGTTGATCGCACCTTCAATTCACGTGCTTTCTCAAACTTTTGCATGTCGCTCTGCCCTTTGAGCGAGCTGCCTGCGGCTAGGAAGACGTATTTGTAATTGCCGTTGACATTCTCGACCCAGTTGGCCAGCCAGGTGACAGTTTGGTCGTGCACTATACCTTTCCAATTTCCAGGCATATTGGGTATAGGGATAGGCACGCCTTCACCGATATTGATGGTAATATCGTCCGGTCGCACACGGAACTAACAAAATGTGAGCAAGTTTTGGTTTTCTTCCGGGTCCAAGTGCTACCTTCAACGCGCCCTTCTTCGGGTGATCGCCCCTACCCCTGAATAAGCCAGGAGGTTCAACCCTGAAGTTGCCCACCTTTTCCTTGCGACCATCAAGGAGACAGGTGACATATTTCTCTTCGAATGCGTCTTTCTGCTTCTTGAGCTCTTTCTTCTCTGCGCCGCTGAGAGCCTTCTTTTTAGCTTTCTCCGCTTCAAAGTGCTCGAACATGGGCCGAAAATCGCAATCCTCAAATTTAGTGATCTTGATCTTATTGCGCTGGTACATAGTTGAGCAAAGCACAGGCGCCCGAAGTATGGTACTTACAGGAGGATGATCCTGAAGTACCTTCAACCAGTCTTCAAAAAAGTTCTTGTTGAAAGTGGCATCTTGAGCGTGCTCAGTTTCCAACATCGCTGCATAAAACCCAGCCACTTCTTCGGACTCTGATGGCAGGTCTACTTCTTTACCTACAAGGCAATCAACAAATTGTCACGGTGGGATGAGTAAGGCAACCACATACCCTTGTACCTCATTTTCACATTCGAGGGTAAGAGTTCGTACGGTGGAGGAAAGATGACACCACTATGCTCCAGCGTTTGCCACTTTACTTCACCATCATTATTCTGCTGAGCTTCCCACCACCTGTAAACTTCCTCCTCGTCTTCCCCTTCATCTTTGACTTTGCCCTTTTTCTTGGGCTGGGGAGTCGCCGATCCGTCTGCTCCATCCTTG